TGCTACCCAGGCGCGCCTTGACGGAACATTAATTTGAACCAGATTGGTCCAACGGCCGCAGCAGGCTGCCCTGCTGCCTACATCCCCGCCGCGGACCGTCAGAGACGCACTGCATTTAAGTTCCCATTTGTCTTGATCAGACGCCAGGCCGGGGCTGCTGCTGCTGCGACACGGGGCAGGTGGTGTGGCGAGATGACTGGCCTACTAATGCGGACATGACGCGCTCCGGTCCTCATTTTTGGCGATGGAAACGAAAAGAGAGAAACACACGAGAAGGACCTCGTGGCCGACCAAAGAGAAGCACTCCATACGTCATCGGCCCGCTGAATCACCAGGCGAGGGCTGGGGCGCGCGCTGCGCGACACGTAGACTGCGCCGCGCCGCAGGAACTGCAACATTATCCCCACCCCCACCCCGCCCCGCGGTGGCGCCCGTCTCGCAATCGGCTCGCTCTGTCTTTGTCACTGCCTTGTGTCTGCCAGTGTGTGCGAAAGAGAAAGAAAAGGCGGGGGGGGGGCTGATCCGCACGCCACCGTCTCTTCAAACGTTGGGTCTGGTAGTTGTGGAGGACCGGGTGAGATCGGGGAAGCGAGAGGGAGGGTGAGGGGGTGAGAGGGAGAGAGCACGAGAGTGAGAGTGAGGTGGTGGAAGAAAGAGAGAGAGAGAAAGAGAGAGAGAGGGGGGGAGGGGGAGGGTCGACAGGCGGGACAACAAGCGCCCGAGGGGGCTGCGGCCGGGACCGACTGCATTCAGGAAACGGGGCGTCGCGCCGTGCAGCACCAACCAGCAGCCCACTCTCTCTCTCCCTCACGCTAGCAGACGCGTGCGCGGCGGAGAGGGGGGGGGGCGTCACCCAGAAACAGCCGGCACTCACCCCGTTTAACGTGACGGCGGAGGTAAAACAGTAAAACAGCGAGCGTGCGGGGCGAGGGAAGGCGACGCGATGGTCAGTTAAAGCAACGAGGAGCGACACGCGTTTGTGTGGCTGGGCTGTTGTTGTAACGAACAGGGACGCGCGGGGTTGGCGAGAGGTGCGCGTCACGTCAGGCGACTTGGACCCCGCCACCCCTACCCGCCCGCCAGCAGCAGCAGCAGTCGGGACAACCGGAAAGGAAGTTTGTTCGTCTCTTTATTAAGGTCCTTGGTGCTTGGCGACGGCCAGAGAAGACTACTTCCCCGTCTTGATTTGAAAACTCTCTCGAGTTTCAGCGAAGCGGGTCACGCGGGTTATTAATGGCTCCCGAGTAATTTGTTTAGCGGGGCAAAAAATCGTTTCAGAAGGATGGGAGTCCCTGTCCCATAAAATGTGTAGTAACCTGGTCAGCCCGCTGGTCAGCGGCGCGGCGGAGCAAAGACAAACCGCGTGCGCGCCGATTACTAGATTGGTTAATGGGCCGCGACGCCCGCCGCGGGCGCCAGCGGGGCAGACAGTCCGACGGACAGGCAGTCGGACAGACGAACAGACAGACAGTCGGATGGACGGACAGACGGGCGCCCAGAGCGTCCCAAGAGAGCCGGCACGGCCGGTGCGTGGCCGAGGGGTGGACCCTTTCGGACGGAGTAGAAAGGTGGAAGGGCGCCTCCGCCGCGCCCCCTAGTGGTGGTGGCGCCGCCGCGGCGGGGCGGGCCTACCCCGCGAGCAGCGGCCGCGCCGATACTCCTCGCTAGGGCGGCCCAGGGCAGGGGGCAGCACTTGTTTGAGCGCGGGGGCGCCGCGGCCAGGGGGCGCAGGGCGTGGGAGGGGCGCCAAGACGCCCCCTTCCCCTACCCCAGGGCGCCCGGGGGGCCGGGGCTCAGCGGCGAGGGGGCGAGGGGGCGCCGCAGCGACACACCGCAGTGCAGTGAGCGGCTGGGCTGGGATGCGGTCCGGGGTGCGACCAAGCAGTGGCCAAGGGAAGCCGTACGGGACACGACCTCAGCAGGCCGGCCTGCTAGCCGCGGTGAACCACGACGCGCTGGTCGTGGCCATGAAGTGAGCCGTCCTGGCCCGGCAGCGAGCGGCCTCCGCGCGCCCCCGCCCCCGCGAGGCTCGTGTGCGTCGGTGCGCGTAGCGGCCCATGGCGCGCTGGGCCCATGCAGTATTTTGAGCGAGGCGGCCGGTGCTGCTCGTCCAACTAGGGCAGAGCGCCAACCACGCCGTGGGGAGCGCAGCGCCAGCGGCCGGTCTGGGCCGCGACCTGAGGCGCCATGGCGGACCAGCACCACCCCACCGGCAACGGCGCGCTCCTTGGGGCGCCTGCAGCACCGCGAGGATCCCGACGTAGCCCCACGACGGGCCACGTCCGGCGGCGAGTGCAGACGCCAGACCCCCCCAAAGCCGCGCGGTCGACGCGGTCCGAGGGCAGGCCCGACGATGACACGGCCACCACCACGACGGAGGACTCGGAGGACGGGCGCGGGGCGGCCCGGCACAGCAAGCGCGCGCTGGGCCGCACCAACGCGGCCAAGCGCAGCCAGTCGCAGCCGTCCCCCGGCGAGGAGGGCCAGCGGGTGTCCACGTCTGAGGACGACGATGACTACTGGCACAAGTACTTCGCCGTACAGAGCAAGAACATCGCCAAGCACAACGGCAGCTCGCTGGCCGCGGCGGCGGCTGGCGTGCTGAGGCCGGCCCCCGTCCGGACCGACCAGGACAAGAGTCCCGCCCGACGCAAGGCAGACTCTGCCATCAGTCGCAAGTCAACAGCGGACAAGGAGAAGGCCCTGTCCGAGAGAAGGCCCTCCGCGCCCAACTTCGCCACTGTGCAGGACGGGGAGCCACTGCCGCCCACACCCAAGCCCACGCTGCGGCGCCGCGCCGCGCGCAGCAAGTCCAAGGGGCCGCCCGAAGAGCCGCCTTCGTCGCCTGCCTCCAAAACCGCCCCCACTGAGTCCGCCTCCGAGACGTCCTCCAATGCAAGCAAGACGAGCAAGGCCGACAAGTCCATCATCTGGAAGAAGTGGAGCCAAGCGCCAGAGCCCTCCAAGAAGGAGGTGCTCAGCATCGACCCGTCCGAGGTCCTGCGAGGGCTCGTCCCGGAGGAACAACTTCGAACGGAGACGGAAGCTGAGCCCGAGCCCGAGTCAGCAGCTTCGCTCAAACCGGAAACAAACGGCGACGGGTGGTTCAGCTGGAGTCGGAAGTCATCCGACCGCTCGTCCAAGGGGAAGCAGGACAAAGAGGGACAGGAGGTGAAGGATGTCCAGGACACTGCGTCTAAGGCAGAGAAGAAACAAAACGCCGAAGTCGCGCGGAAGTCCTCGCTGCGCAAGGAGCGGCCGCGGAAGAGCAGCAATGGCTCGAGAGGGGAGGCAGCCGTCGAGAAGGACAAGCCGCCCCCCGCCGAGCCGGCCAAGCCCGCCGCCAAGCAGTCCTGGCTGGGGAGGCTCTTCGGCCGGAGGCCGGCGGAGCCACCGGCGGCGAAGGCGCCGCAGCCCACGAAGCAGGCCGCGGCTAAGGTGAAAGTGAACTGGCTGGCCGTGGCGCGGGACATCCGCGTCGAGTGGCGCGCCTTCCGCCTCGCCCACCCGGACGAGACCCACCGGCTGCGCGTCATGGGCAACCGGTGCGCCGCCTCGCTGCTGCTCATGCTGCTGTACTGCGGGCTGGGCGGGCTGCTCTTCCGCTTCATCGAGGGCTCCTTCGAGTCCTTCTACAAGTGCGGCGTGAAGCGCGTCAAGCGCGACTTCCTCGACACGCTGTGGACGACGAGCCACAACCTGCGCGAGGACGACTGGAAGTCGCGCGCGCGCCGCCGCCTCTGGGAGTTCGAGGAGCAGCTGCACGCCGCGCACGAGGCCGGCGTCACCTCGTACAGCGGCATCAAGTCGTGGACGTTCCTCAACGCCGTCGTCTACTGCCTCACCGTGGTCACCACCATTGGTGAGCCGACAGGGCAGGGGGGTCGTACTGTCTGCCCGGTGGGTTGGTGGCCGGTGGCGGCCCACCCCGCGGCGTCAAGGCGTCAAGTGTTGGCTAAGTGCTGCGTGAGTGGAGTGGGATTGGCTGGGGGTGTTGGCACCGCAGCAGCGCGCGCGCCCCGCCGCGGGCCGCGGTGGCGTCATGGGACCTCATCTCACGACGGCGAACACCGCAACCCATCGATCGCCTGCTTCTGCTGCCCAAGGACGAGGATGACGGGCCGCAGATCATGCGGCACGACGCGAGGCACGTCGGTGCGGGTGACCCTCCCTCCCGGGTGGGCCTAGGGGCGGTCCCAGAGGCGGGCCGGGCAGTGTAACAGGTTGTTGGCAGCGCCGGCGCCGTCGCGACCCCCGGGGCCCATGCATCAGCGGGCCGCCGCACCTGTTGATGTGCATCTTTGATCTCGAGCGGCCTCTACTTACTTACCCCGCTCTGCCCAGCCCGGCCCCCGCGCCCTGGCTGCTGCCGGCAACAAGATGCACGGGTATCGAGGCCGTGTCCCTAACGCTCCTGTTGTTTCTGTCTGCAGGGTACGGACACATCTCCCCGTCCACCAACACGGGCCGCGCCGTCACCATCATCTACGCCATCTTCGGCATCCCCATGTTCCTCATCCTGCTGGCCGACTTCGGCAAGCTCTTCACGCGCGGCATCAAGTTCGTGTGGTCCTTCGTGCGGCGCCTGTACTACACGGGCTCCTGCAGGCAGGTCCGTCGCACGCAGCCCGTGCAGGTGAGCCCCGGAGCCGGAGGCCCCAGAGAGGGAAGTCTTCTTGTCTGCTCGATAAAAAGCTCGGGTTACTTTGCCGTATTTAACGAAACAACCGCCGAAATTTACAGTCAGCTCTTGGATTTTTCTGTGGTGTAAGTACGCTTACCAAGGCCGTAGGTTGTAGTAGTCTTCACAATCACTCGGTACGCGCACAATAGAGGGGTGGCCCGCATGCATAGATGCGGGGGTTTGCCTATCGTCTCCAGCCGAGGCACATTGTGGCCTTGTTCCAACCCGTCTACATGCGGGCTAGTATGCTTTTTTGCTTCAACGGGGCACAGCTGCCACTTTGTAGTAGTATTACGATGCACACTTGAATTTTCACATTTTCAGTCCCCCCGAAGTTTTTTAATCAGACTAACCTTTTGTTACAACGCTTTTCAGGAAATCATGAAGGGCGCCCAGATGGTTTACGACCTGGCCACGTTCAGAAGGCCTAGCATGTTCCCGCAGGGCGAACCTGAAGCAGACGTCGAGGAGGCAGACACGCCTCTAAGGCAGGATCAAAGCCAGGCCCCGACAATCAGGTGAGCACCAGGTCGAGCAAGACCCAAAACACAGCACGACTGGGAACAGTTCCATCCTCACCCGTCACCTCTCCGTCTTTCTGTGCCCTCAGGCTGGAGCACCCGGACTCGAGCGAGCCCCCAGCTACGCCGGCGCCCAGCGCCTTTGAAGTAGACGACGAGTTCAACCTGCCCATCTCAGTGGCCATCGTCATCCTCCTGATCTACCTCTTTGTCGGGGCGTCCATCTACTGGATATGGGAGGAATGGGGATTCTTTGAGTCCTTCTACTTCGTCTTTATCTCCATGTCCACTATTGGTTTTGGTGACTTCGTACCGGAGGTGAGCGAGCTGGAGGCAGCTCCCATCTCTTCCTCCAATCCCTCTTCTCAAAGTAACACAATTACTTAGCCAGGAGGATGATTAATCCCGCGCACTTCTGTAGTTACACTGTGCCGCATGCAGGAGGTATGCCTGTCGCCCCATGGCGCCTTGCGGGCCCAGCGAGTAGGCAACCCGCCTGCACGTAGGAATGCGGCACAGCCTAACTGCAGAAGTGCGCGGGCTTCATCAGCCACCTGGTTTGTTTCAAAGTAAGAACATGACAGAAAATCATCTCCTGTTTTACATGCCTCCCTAGTCCAGTGAAGTGAGTATTTGGCAACAACTTGTCTGTGTCTATGCATATCAGTAACTCTCAGATCACTAGTGGAACTGCAACTGGCACAGGCGCACACCCGCGCAGCGTAGTTAGTTATTTCACATCGGCTGTAGTGTTTTCCTGGCACGGACATCTGTCCCAAAGGCAGTTGTCTAACTTTCGGGTTCTTGTTTTAGCATCCTATGTACATGATGGCATCGATAGTCTACCTCATCTTCGGGCTGGCCCTCACCTCCATGTGCATCAACGTCGTACAGGTAAGGGAAAAAGTTACCCTGGGATTGACCAGACTTCATAGCGACAGCCCTGCCTCTCAACACCGTTGTCCCTTCCAGGAGAAGCTGTCGGACTCCTTCCGCCAGGCGAGCGCCAAGATCGGGGCAACGATTGGACTGCGCATGGCAGAGGAGGAGGCCGCCTCCACCAACCCAGGCACTCCGGGGAACGGACCAGTAGACGGCGAGGATCAGTACGCGGCCGGGGAAGTCAAGTCGTGAGACAACACGGCCGACGGCACTCGCTAGCAGCGAAGACATATCAGCGGAAAGATAGGAACAGGGACAATGCAAAGCCCCTCCTATTTTCAAGTTAAGAAAAAATACTTTCATGATGTTGCAATGATTCGCAACAACCTATCTATGATAAGATTTTTACCAAGATTTTTTGTACATATGTAAAGGAAAATGAACAATAGGTAAGGTACCAGATGTGGTGAGGTATAAGCATTTGATAAATTTTCATACTTTTATACACCATGTATCATAAAAAGAAATTAGTCCAGCAGTAGCAAGGGAGCAGAAAAGAACGAGACATCATCAATGTCAAAGCTCTACCACAGCCAAAAATGTTGGACACATTTAAACACTTCTGGAGACTGGTACTCTGGAATGAAACACTGAGAAATCTAGTCATGAAATTAAGTTAAGGAATAATTTAAGAAATTGGAAGCCTAATCAGGGTAACTTGTGGATTTGTAAGAAGAATGACAGGGCTAGTTCTAAAATACTGAGGAACGTTAAGACAAGTCTCACTTTCTAAAGAGAAACCACACTTGTTTTTAAGTTACAGTACTTAAGGCGCAAATTTTATACACCATATATGGCAGTTAATTTTGAATGTATTGCCCTGAGATGAAAAAAAATGTGTTTGTAATGTTTTCAAATCTGAGATTTATATATTTTTTGCTGATTGAGTGTTTACCTAGTGTTAAGTTGTTTTAAAGTGCACAAAATTTTAAAAAA